TATAATGGAATAAGCACCGAGTATAATGAGTTAATCACCGAATATAATAACATAAGTACTCAATATAATGACATAACCACCCAATATAATAAAAAAAGTATCATAAGACAGTTCTGGCGTTCCATAATCATGCACATCTTGCAGTCATGAAGTTTTCAAAAAGCTGTCTGGGGATCTACAGTTTTTACAAGACTAAGTCCAATTTGATTGTTTGGTTTTATGACTGACATCTGAACATCTTAGAGTCTGAATCACTCTCACTGCCATTTATAACACTTTGAAGTCTTGGTCCTGGCAATTTCAAAAGTCAAAATGTCTTGGGCTAGCAAGGAAAAAAGCTGGTCTTACCTTCTCGGAAAGTCTTGCATTTACTGTTTCCCAAGCCTACTTATACCTGAGCAATCGTAACATTAGGTGTGATACATTGTTACGAAAAATTGTCTGGGTCAATTTCTAGAACAATCTAGAACCGGAAGTCATTCAGCCGTGACCAATTTGTATAAGAACATTCCAGAACATTCTAATCCTTATGTAATTACTCAAATTAGAAACTGTGTCAAACTACTTAATTTAGTTCCAAATAGAAGTTTCTAGAACTTTAAGCCTCAGGTATATTAGAGTGAGAGGTTCTGCTGTAAGACAGATTGATTCAAATTTGAAGAAGCTTAGTGCTGTAAATTCGTGAAGTTATCTTATGGAAATAAATTAGTTTGTTGCTGTTACCGGCGATCCTGAGTTCTGTCTGGAAACAACCCTGCTCTACGATACTTGTAACATACATGTCACTGCTCTATCTTCCTTACCTTAATTGTGCTTGGAGCAAGTCCTTTAAAGAAGCCAGTGGAACCCTCTTCTTTTAAAATAACCTTGAAGCAATCTAACATACCACTGTACTTCTGGACTTTGCCAAATGACTCCCTGGCCTCATGAAATCCTTGCACCTTTCAAAAACAAAAATAAGATGTAAGGTGTAAGATGTAGAAAAACAGTGTTTCCTTATCCACAGGTTGTCAACATATTTTGATGTAAGCAACGTTATTGTCGGAGTAGGTAGCAGAGTAGCCAGCCTAGATAGTGATTTTGCCAGCAGCTAGCTTACTTCTGACCACCTTGTTAATAAAAGAATAGTTGTCAACTGAAGTCAGCTTCATATCAGGTATCAGGTACTGTATAAAGTGAGTGTATCTCACACACCTGTAGTCTCTTCTTGACCATGTCAAGGGGGTAAATAATTCCTTTACTAAATATCCCTGACAATGCACCACACACAAGGCTCTCCTCAACATCAGCTGGCTTATATGGATCTGGTTGCTGTAACAGAATGATTGTTAAAACTCTGTTTACATGTTATAGGTTATTCATTTGGTTAAATGCTCAATTGATGGTGCTCAACTTTGCCTCAGCTGTTAAAATTCATGATTTCCAACACTGGCTAAGAGTCAATTCTAGCACTGGTGTAAACAAACAGACAACAATCTCCTGACAGAACAACCTTGAATGTAACATGATGGCTATCAACTGACACATTTAGTTTGCATTTCTTTCTATTATGTAACAACATACAATAGTGTACTTGTGAAAGTTTTATACTCAAAAAGACCTTTTCATTTACAACCACAAATGGGTTTCAATCATTATTCCAATCTGCATTAATAGCATTTTTGGTGGTATAAATGCAAGTCCCAAACTGTGTGTGGTGGAAACATACCTTAATCCTAATTGACATTTCCCATAGAGTCTTGAAAAAGGCATAAAAGCCAAACTGTAGCCCAGCATAAGGGAAAATCTGTACTAGAGTAGGAACCAGCCCTAAACAAATGCATTATGTATGTCAAGTTCACTTTTTCCAAAATTAATTTTACATCAAGGAAGCTAGTCTGTCCTGACCAATAGTTATCCCAATATGTAGGATGCCTACAGCAATTTTGTTCCACACAAATCTTTTAAATGTTTAAAACCTTCAATTAGACAGACCACCTGATTCTGTCTCTAATTCCTAACACGTTTTCAAGTCAAAATGTGACAGTTAGCCAACAAGGGGATTCTAACAGTTTAGAGGAGTTGGTAGTATTCAAATTCAAGTACAACCAAATTTTTTAGTCTTCCTTTGATATTTTCTAATTACTATCATACGCTTCAAATTTATCAGTCTGTTTTCAAAAAAGATTGTCATCCATAGTGGAATAAATAAACATAGTTCTCAATAAATAAACATTTCAATTCCTTAAATTTCATCCATGTTGCCCGCTGCAAGAAGTTCCATTGTAAATAAAGTACTTTTAATTAGGGCCATGGGAAGGCACATTAATTGGCCATTTGTGATAATTTTTATCATTCCATACACATCAGAACCTGAGGAAGCAAACACCAAGCAGTCTCACCTTTATAAAATGACCTAATTCCCTCATTAGCATACATTTTACTCGCAGCTTGAAAGAGATTCTCGTAAACCTGGAAAAAAAATGTGTTGAATTTTAAAACAATAGAACCTGTTAATGTTTCTTTTCTAAGGGGGCAGCAGAGCAACATAATTATGATATTTTCCTGTGACTGATCAAGATAAATAGTTAATTCCGATTCTGTGTTCCCCTTGGTTTAAAGGTAACTTTATGTCGCAGTTGAAAATAAGTTACGTACAGCTTCAAAATAAACTTTTAACACAGACTGGGGGTTAAAGATAGGTAGATAAGCTTGTTCCAATGAAGGTATTCCACAAAAACAAGAGGATTCCAATCGCTTCAAACGGTTTCAACAGCTTCACAGTTTGCAGCTGGGTACTCCTCCCCTTCCTGAACAGAATGCTATTCAGTCACAGGTTACGTATACCCCAAGGCAGGTTTTCCTCATTATTGACCAGTATCCATTTTATGGAATATTGACCAAGTCTGAGGCCTACACTATATATCCAACCATCTTGACTGAAAGAGCTTGGCCGGTAACCGGTTGTTTTGCCTGAAAGCCAGTTCACCCAATGCAAATTTGCCCGCAATAAGTTGTTTTGCCTGGACTGAAAGTCCAAAGAAGGATGAGCACTGAACAAGTGTAAAGGAAAACATTGCTGGCATTATAAAGCAAAATTACACAAAACGTGTTCATTTTTCGTTCTTTAACTCATTTACCATGGAGCTAACAGTCTGGGCGAAACGACTTACAGTTCGGTTGAACTGGCAAAACGACCACAATTCAGATTGCTTGGCCAATACAGGATATACTGGATGGTTTAAAGAGCACTATTTCTTTGTAGAACACGAGGACCTCACCATTCCCACTTGGGTAGCCAATCAGAATGCAGGATACGTATTGCAAATTTTTAAATTATTTATTAAATGAAAGACACCAAAAGTAACCTTACTTTAGGTTCTCCTTGTGCAACAAGCCTTGTTCGTAAAACATCTAAAGGCTGGGCTACTGTGGACGACAGGCATCCAGCCAGGCCTCCACTAACAAAGTGAGTCACTGTGTTGTAACAAAAAACCCAAAGAAAACAACTCAGTTTGATGGAAGTGAGTATAAAATTCAGGTTTCAGTGTCCTTGAGTGTCTGCAGAATCTAAAACAATGACAACTGCTTCAGGCCATTCTTTGTTGAAATTACATTTTTTAAACTTTTTTGACTGGAATGACAACCTTGTAGGAAGAAAAGAGAAGCTTTGCCTTTTAGGTAAAAAGTATCAAATCTCGTTAACAGTTCTGTTATAGTGGATCTAAGAATTGAGAACACTGAGGGGGGATGTCGATGAATAGACCAAAGATGTGCAAGAAACTGCTCAATCCTACAACCAAAACGTTCCAGGGACCGCCATGCCAGAACACACTAGTACATTGGTGAAGTGCACTGAGCCTGCAATACCATACAAATACCACTGACCGGAAGCACCAGCTACTCTTTGTTGTTAACTTTGTTAAATTGCATTTAACAGCATAAAAAATGCACAATAAAAATGTTATGCTCAAAACTTATACTCAGTGAAAGTTTTTACAGTTAAATGCAACGCACAACAAGTAGGCCAATGCACCTCGTCCAACACAACTAATATTAATGTTTAATTCCTTTCAAAATGACAAAAATGAGCTTCTAAGGCACGAAATGAATACTGAAAGTTTTAATGACCTGGTTTCCATTTTGGACCTGTACTCGCTGGATATGTTCTCCAGATAACTTCTGTAATAGCTTCAAATGACATGAACTGAAAAAAAAGAGAGACAGACAGAATAATCTTCTAGTATTCAAGTAAAGATGTCAAATAAATAGTCATTTGAGTTTACAATTAACTGTTTCAATCAGGAATTCTTACAAAAGTTCTTTACTAGCTATCGTAGATATCGCTATTTAATTAATATTATAATTCCTTACTTGAACATATCCATACACCACTGAGAGAACTTGTGCTGGTACATGACCTTTCCTATTAGATTAAAACAGATAATCAACGGTCAAAATTGTTTAGCATAGTCACTTAATTGTCATTCTAAGTAGACTGTAAGCAGTGGTTTTGTTCCTGAAATCCTCCATGGGATTGGAAAAGTTAAAATTATGCAAATTAGGGAAAGAAATAAGAACATTCTTAAGATTGTGAGGAAAGGGGCATGTAAGGGCAAACTAGGCAGGATAATTCTCAAGCTCGAACAACAAGAAACTACTGAACCACTTTCAAATAGAAAGAACGTTAACCAGTTTTGGTAAAAGTCTTATTTACCAAAGCTTTGTCTAAAGTCGCCAAAGAAATCATTAATGGATGTATGGTTTGTTTACGAGACCTTTATATTGAATCAATTACACAACACTAATGATGTCATTTTGCAAACTGAGCATAACTATCAATCAAATATACATGTAGGTGTCAAAGATGGCAAAGCAGAAAAATCAAAAATTCTCGCAGTTTCTTTCTTTTTTGTTCTTTCCCTGCCTGTGCTTCTTGCCACTTGACTGTTCTTCTTTTGCTTTGCTTGCATGCTAAGAAAAGATATAGACTGTTTACAGTCAAAACTCTACTAACACACAATTATAGATCTTTTAATAAATTACTTTCTTTACCAAAGTGCTGTAAATCCTTCCTCTTTGTAAATTAGTTTGAATGCCTGCCATATTCCTGAGTATTTCCCTGTGATAGCTTTCTGAAAGATGGAAAAAGATAGCTACTGGAAGTCAGTGTTTTACAACTTGAGATTACAACTTAGTTTATGAATCAGTCATTCAAATTTAAAATTTTTCAAGATCAATTTGACATATACTGCACATATTTTCTGTGCCATATTTGCAAGCATAAAGGGTAAATAAATATGCACGATACATAAAATGAAACAGTGGGACTAGAGGTGATGCAATGTATGTATAATTGCAAAAAACATCTAGTATCTAAAAAAGGTTCAAAACTTCCTCTTCACCACCCTATAATATAGTGTTTCCAAATCTCATTGACAAATTGAGCAATAATAATCTGTTCATGAACATTGCCAGCTCACGGGACATTCAGTGGAATCTACCAAAACAAAAGTTCTTGCCACGGAAAGCAACACATTCAAATGCCACGTAACAGAGGCAATTGAGGTCAGATTATGTAAGCCCTCTTTGAACAGAGACAATGGCTTTGAATTAGCCAGCATCTATGACACTATTTTAGTCCCCTCAAGATGGTAATGCACATATAACCTTTCTTAACATTTGTATTGCAGCTGACAAAGTGCAGTAGACAGTTATAGATATCCCATTTTTAAGATTTTTAACTACACCCTGAGAACCGAAATTATTCTTTCTATTTTTTAAAATCATGATTCCAGAGCAGGAAAACAATACTTTTGATTCAATAATAATCAAATTACAGGTTTGTGTGTCTTTTTTTATTTACTTCTATTTTTAATCAATAATTCTCTCAAATACAGAAATTATCGACAAATTATAAGTTATACCAATTTTTGAATAATTTGTAGTCCTGTTGTCATGTTGTCAATTAGCCAAAAGAATTAAATAATCAAATTATCTTTCATCGTACAATAACACACGTAATCAGATATATCGCAATATGCCTTATGCATGATTACATCACGCACTCAAAATTCTCCACCAAGCCTCCATTTGCAAAATTTTTTCAAACCCCTGGAGCTTTAGGCTTGTTTTTCATGAGGGTATTCTTTTCGCCTTTGCCGATTTGGAAATTTGTCCATGATAAGGTTTTCAAAGCGAGGCTCGGTGGTGACATTTTCTTGTCCGATGTCATCATATGCATAAGGGCTACTGACAATCAGGCCAATATTCCAGTTCTGTTATTTGTATAGAAATTATAAACTACAACTGTTACAGTTCCTCTCAGATACAAATAAATTTGCATTGTTTAAAATTCGCTCCAGTAAGTGAAATACACAAGAACAAGGAAGCTTAAATTATGTAAACAAAACTGAATTCAAAAGTCAGAAGATATATACTGTATTTGTGAGAAGTAGATAAACGCAAAATTCTTATTCAGTTAGATGTAATAATACCTTAGATGTTGGCTCAATCTGTAGCTGAAACCGTATTTTAAGAACATCAAGGGGTTGAACAACCACTCTTGTTACCACGCCTGACACAGCGCCACAGAGACCACATTGCAGGGAAGATAAGCTCTTCTCTTTACGACCAGGATCAAACCCAACCACCATTTCGTCACTGAAAACATTTTTCGATTCCATTTACATTCAACTGATCATTGACTAAACGGAAATAAACAAACCATGAACAGACAATTGTGTCATAGTTGTGATGTGCTGCACGCGCTACTTCGTCGGCCATGTTGACTGACCATGTTCACGCGAACTGTGAAAAAGAGGGAGGACTGTGTTCCACAACGAATTCCCGCGGGATCTTGAAATTATCACGTGCGGAGTTCTTTACATATGATTGGTTGTTCTATTTCGGAGTCGGCGGATCAGCTTTCAAACTCTGTGGAATTTATTTTCGTGATGATCAATCGACCCGCTGCTGGTTTCGATGCGTTCGTTATTTTGAAACTTGATAGATTATGGATTTTTGGTAATTGTTGCCTTATGTTGTTGGTTTTCTTCGCTTGAAATGTGAAATATGTCTACTCCGACAAAAGCAAGAGGGAAGCGCGCACTGCCGAACGTTCCTCTCAACAGAGCGGCAAGTGTTGATCGCATAGTTACAACGACGCCGAAATCAACCATCTCCAAGAGGACTGATTTTGACTCTGCGTGTGGTGATGTGAAAAAGAACAGAAACTGCAACTCACAGCAGCAGCAAAAGAACGGCCCGATCATGAATTCGAAGGTTTCATCGGAATTGTGTTCTAGAAGGAAAGATCTCTCGTCGAGCGATAGTGGTTCCAATACGAGTTCACCTTATAATTCTCCTCGAGCAACGCGGAAGGGGACCGTCGGACCAGTGGTGGCCAATATTGCAGACAAATTCTCTACTGGTCCTCACAAAACCACGGTAATGGAAGGTAACGAGGCAAAAGAAGAGGCAGGGAGTACTGAGAAAAAGATCGCACGTGTTCTGCCAATGACACCACAATTCATTGAAGAACACCTGATCACGAATCCTGAAGACAAACCTTCGTCCACTAAACATGAGGAAGAGTATTCTTTGAAAATCAATAAACTGCAGTCTGCGTTGGAACTGAATAATGGTAATGCTGTATTAAAGGGCTTGTTGACACCTAAGACTTCCGAGATCAACGCACTCGGCGTTTTACAAGCAAAGATGGCGGGAACACCATCCATTTCAACAACACCACAACAACCGTTCTCCGGCGATGATGGCGAGGGATCGAGTGTGCGGGTTGGTGTAAGAGTGCGACCTTTCTTACCGAGGTAATGTGATACGTTTTGTGTGATAACACGATAACAGCTTACTGTTACTAACAGAAGGCAAATGTTGTGACCGCTTATAAATGAATTTGTTTGTTCTTGGGTATATTACAATGCGCAAGTGTGACAAACTCTACACTTTATATTGATCATCAGCTGATCACGATCATGTTCTATCCAGAATTCGTTGTGCAATGATTGATTTCTTATCGATAAATGTTTGCCCAAACAAAGTTTTGGTGTTGGGAGAAGTTGGTATCGTTTTATTCTTACTGGATGTACATTTTAATTTTGGAAACAATGCAACACGCTTTGACGATAGTGTGTTACATAACCTTGAAGCAATATTGGAGTACTTGGTTTGTAAATCAACGTGCAAATCATTGCTTTCGTGTCACCGCAAAAGAAGAAAGAAAGATGTTGGTCACACGTTCGTATTGCTAAGCATTCGAGCAGGAAGCATCCAAAACGTTTGTTTACACAATTAACATTCTTGTCCAATGACGACTTAATTAAAGCCTCGTTAATTCATTTGTGTCTATTGTATGTGATCGGCACCTTTGTTTCTGTTCATCAAGATTTAAAGATAATTCAAGAACCAATATAAGAGATGAATGGTTGATTTACGATGCTTGTGTGCTATGGAGCTGGCTTACATGCTCTAATTTTGAGTGGTCATTCTCATTGTTTTTTGTCCATCTGCAACAGTTGGTCTTAAGACTTTAATATTATTTAAAAACTCAGTTCCTCAATTGAATCAGTATGACTCTCATAATTTATCTTAAGTATACAAAGTGATGCTATCAAGCACACATGTAAGAAATTATGACTTTTTTCTCGGAAATAGAATTAATAATATTGTAAAATATAGAACTTGAGAAATGCTTCTGTCATTAACCAAATGAAATGAATAAATTATTACAGACCCACATGATAACCACAGGTAACAAAATGCAAAGAGAAAGAGTTTTGTACATATTTATGTATCAGTTAAGCCATAAATTATTGCAAATGCAAACCTGAAAATCAATAATGCACTGCTTTTTCCTACTGACATAACATTTCTCCCGGTATGATGAAACTTCAAACTATAAGGAAAGGTTCTTATAAAAGGGCTATTAGTAAAAGGAAATCTTTGAAGCACGGTTAATGGAGTGTGATGCTTTAGGTCCCTGCTAGGTCGTTATTGTTATGTTATTAGTACAATAGTGAAATGTAATACAACGGATCCTAATGTCTTTCTCATCTCGAAAGAAAAATGAAGACTTTCATCAAGCTACATGAGATCCTTACTTTGTTAAAGGTAGATTTTTGCACAACTCGTGAAATTCAATGCTGACACACTTGTTAGGTATATACATTTAATAATTTATAATTACACCTAGTAACAAAGAACCAAATGTATAAAGTTTTTGTTTTTACTTCACAGAGAAGAAAGTGACCCGAAAGTGAAGCTTTGCATTTCTATGAAGGACAACGAGACAGTAATCACTTCAGATGCTGGAATGGAATACGAATTTGTATATGACTATTCCATTTGGTCATGTGATCCAAATGATGCTCATTATGTTGGACAAGAGAAGCTGTATGAATTGATGGGACGTCCTCTTCTGAACAGTGCATTTGAAGGATATAACACCTGTCTGTTTGCTTATGGCCAGGTAATACATGTACTTCAGTAGAAACAATGATCTAAGGAAGTACTGGTATCAATCACCTTGATTCAGGTGCATAGTTAGGGATTAATTAAAGAGAACAACAGAGTCACTCTGTATTTAAAGTTGAGTCATCGTTTCAACATGGAACTGAAAAAGCAAAAATGATATATTTTTCAATATTAGAGAAGACCCCAAAGTTCGACATCTGAATCAGTAATGATTGACGCATTTATATCTGGGTCGACCTGGCCATTGTATTCCATTACCCCAGTCAAATAGAATGAAAACAACAGAGTGAAATCTAAAATATATTTTACTTCAAAGATTTTGTGTTGAATTATAATTAGCAATTCAATGCAATTAGGATTGACTTCTGAATCAACTGCTGCAGAACTTATTTATTTGAGTCAACTAAAATGTGTATTATTAAATAGGTTGGGCTCATGCAAAGCTCGATGTTTAAACCTGGCTTAAGAATGTTAGTCATTGCAGTTTTAAATCACTCTGGTGTAGGATATTTTTCTAATCAGCTGTTCACATTTTTTTCTTACAGACAGGATCAGGGAAGTCATACAGGTTAGTCACATTAAACAGATTAATTCAAACATGTACAAATGAATTATTTTACATACTTTCTGCTCAATTTTCAGTATCATGGGCCAGGGAGATGAACTTGGTGTTTTACCAAGATTCTGTGAAGAGCTGTTTGACAGGATCAAATGTTGGAATGAGGTGATTTAAATACTGTTCATTTGTAAATGCTACAAAAATTCAAATTCTACTTAGCCTCTTACACTGTACCAAAGAAAAGTTGTCTTTATCATTCAGGGGTTTATAAGACATGTATGAAGACCTGTCAGTATTACTTGCTTTTTTGTGATTTCTTTTATTTATCACGTGCAGCTGCAGTTTACAGTGGAGATAAGTTATTTTGAAATCTACAATGAAAAGATTCATGACTTGTTGGCACCCAATAAGAAGAAGGACAACAAAAAAGTTCAGGTAAATTTCTTAAGCTTGTTATTTGGAAACTCTGTTCAAAGTTTGATGGCATAGTTATGCTAAATAATGACCTGTAAATTGGGCATCCACAACTTGGTATAGGTTTGGCTCAAGCCAACAATCAATAAAGGGACAGGAACAAAAGAAGTAATTTTCCCTACAAAGTAGGCTTTCACAGGACTCCTGGATTGGTGTGTGACATTTTCAGACTGCAGACTTTTAAACTGATATCGTTGTCCATTTCCATTTCTGAGAGATCATAACCAGGCTAACCTGAGAGTTATTCAGGCTAACCCAAGCACTATTTAGGCCTAAATGTAGTCTTCAGTCTGCAATCTGCAAGTGGCATACAGCACAACTGGATACTCTTCTACAGCTATTAAAGCTTGTTGGCAACACTGCAAACTTCAGATTAACACTTAATAAATTTTGTTAAGAATAATAATTGGTGGAAGATGGAGTAGTTGACTACTCTACCTCTTGGCCAATCTGCTGCTGGTGGTAGTTTCTCATTTTCTTACAGTACTCAAACTGGAATTCTCCATTCATAAGCCTCTGTTTACTGCCCAATCACCAGATTTTCTCAGATTTACCTCAGGCGCCTGATCATACCTTTTTAGTACACTTAGACAGCAATCATGTATCAGGCTTGTTTGGTCTTGCTGTGGGTACACGCATCAACCAAACTTTGCCTGCAAAGTATACGAAGAACCTTGGTACCATTAGCTTGTTTAATGTATATTCTGATATCAATACTGTGTTTTGAGTTGCATGGAATCTGACTACAGCTATTTTCATTTCATCTCATTTCTGTTGTAGTTGAAGGTCAGAGAACATCCAATCCTGGGACCATTTGTTCAAGATTTATCCACGTAAGTTAACACTTTGAAATCATTTTCATCTCATCTAAAATGCTTACCAGACAACCTCACTCATTTAACCTCATTTCATTGTCATCATTTATTATAATGAAAATCCTATCTTAGACAGTCTGCTATTGTATTCCAATAAAGTACAAGTAATCTAATAATGTCCATAATATTTGCTTTGATTTAAAAAATAATAATTTCTATTTACAAGGCTAAAAAAAATAACTATTTTTTAGCCTTGTAAATAAAACTTATTTAATCTAATAATATTGTATTCACCTGGTGATGAGCAATGTGAATGTGCTTGGAAACTACATCCCTTTCTTATATTTACATCTTTCCTCAAATTATACATTAGGATGCATGACTACACTGGTCAATACATTTAACGAATGGTAGTCAGGGTTGTTAATACAATGTATGTCTTAAGTCACTTGTTGGCTTGATCTTCACATCCTTAACAAACCTGTTGATTTGTGGGTGAATTGTATCAACCCCAAGCAAGTTCACCCAAAACATCAGGGCCCATCAAGCCTACTCAGTCGGTATTAGGGGTTATGGCTCGTAATGACAGTTTGGTACTATGCTTGATTGACCTTTACAAATATTTTGTCCATTTCATTCGTTTCTTCTTTAGATACACTGCAAGTTCATTTGCAGATGTTGAGGTGAGAAAATCTTAACTGGTGATATTATAGGTGATGCTTAGAAATCTTACTTAACATCTTTAAGTACATGAATTGGCACCTTGGAACTCTTGCACATGGATATTATAAATACCACAATCTAACTGTTTTTTTTTTAACTTGAAAAGTAAGTCAAGGTGGCTTTAAGACATTGTATATTTTTGCTGATGCTAAAAATATCAGTCTTGTTTCCCAGTCTGTTTCTCACATCCTCCAGCATCTGTAAGACTTTGTTTTGAATTAGCTCAAGATTATGTTTCTCCAAAGCATTCGCTTTAGGTTTACTGATGGAAATCCTTTTTTTTTTTCTGAGCAAGTACAAGAAATCATAATGCTCTTCATCTTTAAGATGCAGGCGATGAATTTACTGAAAGCAAATTTGTTTTCTTCTAATGTTTTTTTATTATTATTATTCTGCTTTTATTTTAGTCTTGGCTAGCTGTTGGAAACAGTATCAGAGCTACAGCTGCCACAGGAATGAATGACAAGAGCAGTCGTTCTCATTCAGTCTTTACCATGGTTATGACGCAGACAAGGGTAATTAGTCTAGTTGTAAAACTTAATTATCTGGTATGGGCTGTTAGCACTTAGTAAGTCAGGTAGCTGCACCCGTCAGAGTCTATTCCAGTTTTTATAGCATGATGTGACCAAGAGTATTCGTACTCTCGCTATATGCTAGCCTGTTCTAGGTCACTGATTGTGGTGTCTTGTCAGGTTGCTTGAGAGTATACACCTGGGTGGAGAGAGGGACTTTTCCCAACAGCATACACATACAACATACATACAATCATGTGCTCACTGACCCCAGAGAGTCCTTTTAGTTGAAATTATTTTTCCAACTTTTTTGATAAAATAAGTCAAACCTCCTGTTGCACTGAATTTCAGTGTTAAAAGGCTCTTAGTTAACTCCAGTGACTTCTCCAAAACAGTTTAACTGCAGTAGTATCTTTTGTTTGCCTGTAGACTGAAATATTTGAAGACTCAGAGACACAAATGACGACAGCCAGTAAAATTAACTTGATTGATTTGGCCGGAAGTGAGAGGGCAAGTCAAGTGCTAAACAATCAGGTGATCAAGACAGCAGACACAGCAGCGCTCAGACTCAAGGTAACAATATACACAATTTCTCTATAATTTCAATTTTTTGCATGATGAAGTTGAAGGACACATCAAGATGCAAGGGAAAACAAAACTAACCTTAATATCTTCCATGTAAATTTCTTTCTGAGCTAATAAGGATTATTGCTAGTTTGCTAGTGACTGTTTTGTTGGAGTTAAGTTTAGTGTAAAGTAATAAGGCCAAAAGAATAACCCAAATTCAAAGTAACATCTGGTTAGTGGGAGAACAGGTCACAATTGCTTAATTGTCACCTGTCGGGCAACATTTAGATTTTAGCCATTGCCACATGATAATTAATCAACCAAATAAGAGCAAGTGGCAGATTCAACTTAACTCCTGCATTTCATTTGTCATGCCAAGTAATGCTGATTGCTTCAACTTCATGTTGATGTTGTTGACTTGCATTCCAGGAGGGTGGGAGTATCAACAAGTCACTGCATACCCTTGGTAAAGTCATCTCCCTACTGTCAGACAGGGAAACGGAAAAGGCCAAAAAGAAAATGTACATACCCTACAGGGACTCCACTCTAACATGGTAAGGGTGAAAAGCATGCCTGATGCTAAATCTTTTTCTCATTACTTTAGGTGACCAATATTTCTCCAGATTATGATTAAGTTAGATGCATGTAAATGCACAATGAATTTTCTTTTAGTTCATGTTTTAACTGCTTTGCATAGACTTACGGCCAATCTAGATAGGAAATAGTTGCATTTTCAGATTTCTCTCTATTTATGTGGACTGAAGCAACAAATCGTTGAGGGTTTCCCCCTAGATGACCACGGGGTGTTCTTCCATGAGACCATTGCAGAGTTGACGCTAAAAAGAGAAATGTGATACTGAAGACGTCAGACTACAACTCTCTACCACTTCTCCCTCATTTCGACTCGTTGCACAAAGGACAAGTCAGAGTTTAACGCTGTCACTTCCCTTGACAGGTTACTAAAAGACAGTTTAGGTGGAAACTCCAAAACAGCCATGATAGCAAATATCAGTCCTGCAAGCACTTCGTTTGGAGAATCTCTGAGTACATTACGATATCCTTTTACAAACAGCTATTTTTGACAATGAGACTAAAAACATCGGTCCACTCGCTGATCAGTCACCTCAGATTTTAGCCACCGAGGTGTTTATTAAACTTGGTAGCTGAATAGGGGGGAGAGGTGCATATTTGGGACGGTGCGGTAATTTCACTTTGTTACCTGACATCTCTGAAGTGCCCACGCTACAAACTGTGACCTTGGTAACACCATTTACAAATTACAAATTACAAATAAATCTTTCTCAACTCGCTACTGTTGAAGCTAAACTCGGTATCTTGGAGAGCAATAAATTGGCAAATAGGAGCTTATTGTGTTTTTTAGACAGTACAATAGACGTGTTGTAATGTCCACGGTCCATAAAGGCGAAGAAGAATAGTCAAACAGAAAAAAAAAAGCAAAAACAAAGTACAGGTAAAACTTAGAGCGTATCGTATTAGAGGTAAACTTACCGGAATGCATGGCGCGTATGACGTACTAGACAACTTTAATTGAGGGGTGACGCCTATTGGCATAAGGGCACTGAATCCAGTCATAGGATCGTTATAATGCTCAAAGCTAACTTTTTGTACTGTTTCCCAAACCGTGCATTTTTGCTTTTTTTTCCTTAACTGTTTTCAAATATGCTCAGAGAGCCCGTACAATTGTCAACAGAGCGGTTATCAACGAGGATCCAAATGCAAAGATCATAAGAGGTTTGTTGGAAATATTTTACGCACGCGCTAATGGTGTTTTAACATCGCGGTGTGGCTTTAATTAGCCGTAAGATTGGTATAAGTACTTCAGAATGATGTAGTTTATTTTTTCTCTCGCCAGAGTTGAAAGCCGAGATCGAGAGGCTGAAACTTTCTCATGGAGACGGCAACCAGGAAATAAGTGCAATAGCTCTGGCAGAAGTTGCTCTGTTGAGAGAGAAACTCAAAGAAACCCAATATCTTCTGGCTGAATCAACTCGGTCAGTTAACCATATGTTTTTTGTGGAAACAAGAGATTGTCATTTTTGGTAAAAAGCCCTTGTTATCATACCCAAGACGATTCTGATTCCGACGAATCAGAAAATGCGGGATGTTCTCACGCCAACTGTTCTTTCATGTGCCCACACCCCCTTGCGCTCGCACTTATTCAGGCTTCCGCCATTTTACATACTTACACACAATTGAAAGAACCCTTTGGGGCAGCAAGTCTTTCTCTGGGCGAACTCGGGGATTTATGTAATACTAACTCTTGTTTCTCCGGATCAACATCAAGGAACTGGCAAGAAAAACTTGCGTTGACGGAAAGGAGAAAACTGGAAGAGGCAGAAAAGTTGAAGGTAATGCGAATGGGAAGATATTTAACGAAAATTTTCAAACTTGATTCACCGGTTTTTTGTTCGTGTTTTTGAGCCTATTAAAGCTGTTGTTTCGTTATTTCGCAGAAAGCGGGTATCTCGTTTAAGGTGGATAACCGACTACCGAATCTTGTCAATTTAAACGAAGACCCCCAGCTGTCAGAGATGTTGCTGTACATGTTGAAAGAAGGTATGCGGTAAATCTACAGTGGAGTGTGGTTCACAGAGAGTGAATCAATGTTGATGATAGCACCAACTGCGCGTTTTACCACCCAACAAAAGCCTCCTGTCCCGTATAAAGATGGGATATTCCATACTCTTCAACGCTGTTATATTGCATCGTATGGTGTGTTGAGGCGGAAAACTTCGACCAGTAAACGTAATTAAAACGTGATTCGTGCTGTAACCAATTAGAGAGAACGTGTAGTTTTTCAACCAATCAACGACAAAATCAAAACCAACAGGGACAATTACGCGCTTGGCACCAGTTGCATGTTTTTTCTCCCATTTCTTATTGGTTCGCTCTGTTATCTATGGTTATTGTGATTGGCCAGATATGATCTATTACTGATTTAAAAACTGTTCTGACTACTTTAAAATCAAATTGCTTGTTTGTAGGGGAGACGACAGTAGGTCAGCATGATCATGATATTAAACTGAATGGTGCTCTTGTGGCAGAGTCTCATTGGTAGGCTTTTGATTAATCAAATAGCTGTTTGCTTGTGCTTTCTTTTTCCATTGAAAGACCTTTTCTAGCGCAGGTGAAATTGTGCGTATTTTAATTTTACGAATTGTTTTTCAGTGTCTTACGAAATGAGGGAGACAAGGTTACTGTATCACCAATAGGTAAATTACTTCCACTTGATATTGTTTTCAATTCTTCAATCTCCAGCGATGGTCAATTCTCAACTTTTCAAAAATTCCAGTGAAGTAGGGCCAATGGAATGAATTGCGCCATCATCTCAGAAACACCGCCGAGTGATAAAAACTTAATTCTGCCTACTTGAATACAGCACATAGAGCAGCGAGGTTAAGTTTGATGTTGGTTTTGCGTCTAGAGCAATTTTAAATCTATTCCTTTTTACCGCTTTTTGTCGACTGTCGCTTATTCGTGTTCAAAACAAGTGTCCGCGCAAATACAAATGCTGTAATTTGTTCTGACACAGAGTTTTGTTTTAGGAGATGCGCCGACGTACGTCAATGGTCAGCTGATTGTGGAAGAGACAATACTTCATCATGTAAGTGATCGCAAATTGACTGTCGATATGTGAGTAATATTAGCTTCTGGCATGCCGATAAATTTCCGGTTATAAGCCCTGGGCGTATACAACTTCATTAGGGGTTTGGGATGGGCTTATAAACAGGACGCTAATAACCGGTACGCTAATAAGTAGTGTACTTCTCAATTTACGGCTTTGCTCATCCACATTATTTGTTTATATATCTTATACTTGTAGGGCGACCGTGTTGTTATTGGAGGCGACCACTTTTTCAGGTATATAGAGTTTTTTGTGTTGTTTTGCTTCGTTTTTCTTTAAAATTATAACAGTTCGTCTTCCTTTTTCCCGAAAATGCCGGAAACGGATCTTGGAATATTTGGCGATTTTAAGCCCGATCTGGCTGGAATCTAAATTCTCTGCCAACATTTCAAAAGGCTTGATTGTGTGTGTGTGAGTGAATTGAAAAGTAGGTACTTGTGAAGGTACATGCGGCTACTGTGACAAGGGGTGACAAGGTGTTCGCAATGCTTGTCGGCGCACGTATTACAGCCACTTACCTGTCCTTGCAGCTAGTTTTATCCCCTTGTTTTTACGTATTTCTTGCGGGTCGAAACCTGCAATTTATGTTTTCTTTTCTGCGCCAAATGCATTGTTGATTGTATTGTAGGTTAAACCATCCTAAAGAAGTCAGAAGGAGAAAGATGAGTACTTCTGCGGCCCCAGAAGGAAGTAATCAAGAACCTTTAGTCGTTAAAGACTTTGAGTTTGCAAGGAATGAATTAGCACAAGCACAGGACGCAAGGTGAATATCACAGAGTGGTGTTTCCGTGACATACAAAGAGTGCAATGAACCTGTAATCAGAGCTGGCGGCAAATTGTGTTATTTGTCGCAAGCACTGGAAAGCGTGACGCTTGTGGTAAACGTGGAAGAGATAATCTCTTCTCTGATTGGTTGGAGCGCTTTGTGCTAGCCAATCAAGTATACTAGTGGTGCTTCCATTATGCCAGAGATTCCGGAAATTTCGGTCAGAAGTCAAATGGAAAGGTCGGTTTCGGTTTAGTCCGACCGGAATATATGGGACCACCTCCGTTCCATTTTGACAAATCAGTTCATTGCCCTACTTCTCTCCAGTAGATTTCACTTATGTAGGAAATTCGGAAAAGGAATGAAAAATGGTAAGAGCCATCCCTCTTGGTTGGCCCGGTTTGATCGGAAAATGTCGTTCCATTTTCCTCGGGTATTCCCAGCGGACTCTGATCGGTCGGTCTGGCATAATGCAAAGCACCCTGGCCGTAATAACGAGGTGACTAGGCCGCATTAACGTGGTGACTCTTAATGCATTTTAATCGCTTGTGCACTTCTCATCACAGGCTTCAAGCTGAGTTAGAAGAAGCCAGAGAAGAGGCGAGAATCAAAGCACAGGAGGAAATCGTCGTTCGAATACAGGAAGCTAAGGTAATAATTGTCACAATGGATAACTCTAAACGAATCCAGCATTTCAGAAGGTAATTTGTGTTTGCTTTTGTCGAGCAGGAGGCCGCTCAACAGGAACTGTCGCAACAGAGGGAACAGTACGAGGAACGAGTTACACATCTCCATGAAGCTATGGTAAGTGCTGTCAAAAATCGCTATTCTTATTGTGCGTCCGCGATAGAAAAAACATACTGACCATTTCACCAGTAAAGGCATTGACTGATGGTTGTTATATATATCAAGAGCACCAGGTATAATGAACCGAATATCCAGAACTGAGTAGGTCTGTTAAACCGATATTACATGGTACTTCTTACACTTTGGATGCGCTATTGAGATCGTGACGCGCCAAGAGTTTTCGTCCTACTCTGTATTTGACAAAAGTGGCTGGCGTCTAAGACGTTAATAACAGCGTAGAACTGGACTAAACTATCTTTTAAACAGCAGCTTTTTTATCTCAATAGGAATCTCTCACGACAGAAAAGAAAGAAGCTGAATTGTCAAAACAAACAGCGGTGGAAAAGATTTCTGAACTAGAAGCACACAGACTGGTAGGTCTAATGTGCCGGTATAAACTTATCGTATCCATGTTGAACAAGCCATTTGATCTTTTTCATTTTCACGCTGCTTTTATAATTGTGTGGCTTAATTTGTCTTTCAACTTTTTCTCAGCTATTGGAGCAAGAAATCCTGAACAACAGAAAAAGGTTACAAATGGAAGCTCTAGCCGCCAAACAGGTCAGTATGCTGATTAGAATAAACACTTGGCTCATAGTCTGCAGCTGATTAGAAAGAATAAAACTTTCCTTGACAAAGCAAAAGAGCAAAACTAGGGAACAACATGCATTCTTCAACTTAGGTGAATCGAGTTGAAGAATTGGTACACAAAAAGGAAGCAGGGCGCGAAAAAACGAAGGGACGGTATACTTCCTCTCTGTGTCTTGTCCTCTCCCTAACCTCGTTCCGAGAACGAGGTTGCTCTCCCCTCCCCCATTTTCTTCTCGTCTCGCGCGTCGCCTTTTGCCTTCGTATAACAGCGTAAACAAGCTATAGGACTTCAATGATATGAAACCAACACTGTCGCATTTACAGGCTTTGGAAGAAACCAAAATGAACCAGGTTCGAATTATGACAGAGTTGGAGAAAGAAAAGAAGAAAATGCAGGATGATGTACAGAAACTAAAAGATGCTAAGGTAAAAGCACACCTCAACATTGCGTGATTTTGGTATTTTGGTTATTTTTGCAAAAAATATCCTTTCTAAAGAAGCTTTTTTTACATTCGTTGTTGCGATAACTTTTTTATTTTATTTTCCAAGCAAAACCGCGAAAAGGTGAGAGAGGAGTTTAGGGCGTCTTTTAACAGCATTGGAAGGAAAAATTCTCTAGCTGGTAAGCTTGCTGTAATGTTATGGAACTAGAAAATGTCCTCTTTTTGGTGGTGAACCAGCATGATAAGAGAGTACTAGAAGGGATTTAAAGAGATTTAAAACTGGGTCATTACCTGATTTTTGTTAGTAAGGTGGCCATTAATTAACTGTAGGAGTGAAATTAAAGAATAATCTAAAAGTACGACTTAACACTTTACCTTTGCACATGGTTGCGAAAGGTGATAATGTTCTCCTCATCTGACTAATTGTGATGACTTCTGCAGATGATCCGAACAAGAAGGAGCTGTTAAGAATCACCATGTCTTTAAGAGAGGCCAACAAGATCAGCCAGAGCTTGTCAAAACACATCGTAAGTGATAACAAGACAGTCAGTCACCATTTACTCGAATTCCGTGTATAAAAGTTTCTCAATTCAGACTTCCACCATCCACCCAGATCCTTCTATTCGCTAATTTTACCTTTTCTTAAAAGGTTCCTGTGAATTGCATCTCAGTATCATCCTCTGTACCCTTATGTTAAGTTCTAAGGCTTTCTTTAATTCCATTGCAGACCTTTAGCCGGGATGATGTTTTTGTCGACGGCAAGGTAACAAAATCTCTCTTGTGTTTGTCGTGGAGAACGTCTTTGCTCGTGAAAAGTGCAAAACATATTACGTGTGGGATAACCGTCAGTCATTCAAGATCAAAACGCTTTTCTTTATCGCTTTCTTATCCTAAAACTGTAGTTTGTCGTGTCCTTTTAAATAAGCATACTCCAGACCTGTACCGCACTGACTACACTGTGGAGTATGGTCATTACAAAGCTAAAATCAGTTTTTGTGTTACCTCGCATATCCAGATGGTGACAGAAGGAAACTTTTAATTCTTGCTTGATGTTGCAATGTTCAGTTCACTCTAAATCGATGCATAACGTTTTAACGTTTTGCTGTATCTACAGTCAGAAATGAAGATTCGTTTGAACAACACGAAGAAAGGTCTGACGACTGTGTGGTCTCTGGAGAAATTTCAAAGCGCCTTGGAGCAGATGAGAGAGCTGTATCAGGTAAGAAACACTCCCAGATCAGTGAAACGTACTAGTGTCCCCAATTAGTCTATCTAGGCTAAACACAGACACTTAAATAAAGATTTTACTTACTTACTTACTTTTTCATGCTTTCTGACAAATAAATTTTCTGTTGTCAACTCTGTTCTTCTTTTCCGAACAGCAACGCGATAACGACAGCGTATCAGGGGAGTCTGGTGACGAAGTTGATCCTTTCAATGACCCGGATGATAAATGGGAGAAGGATTTCAAACTGGACTCGTCCAGTAGCAGGTTTGTGAGACATTGTGATGAATACTAAACTGACAAGTAGACTCTAGTAGTAGTTGTGCATGTGTCATAGACTGTCAACTGTGCATTTCACTTACACGACCACGTGACTGTATCTTCCTCCACAGACGTATTTCATCTCTCAGTAGTTCAGGATTGTCGTCTCGTGCCAGGTCGTCATCAGCGGGAAAACCACAAGGTACGTCATGTAATACACAGTAAACTCTGATGCAATTTTGCGTTTTGTTTGCAGAACGATATGGGTTGGCAAAAGTTAACAATTTTAAGTCTCTGACAACAGTAATGGTACTTTTGAACGGCGTTGGTATTTGTTTGGTGTCGTCAAACATCAACCTACGTTTTAAGACTGCACTAAGGCAAATTTTTTTTCAGGATTTTCTTCAAACAAGGCTGAAAGTATCTTTGCCAAGTATCGTAATCAACAGAGCCAAGGCTCGTCATCCTCAGATGCCTCCGAGGTCCCTTCTGAGGACCCAGAGACTTCACCCGAAAGGCCTGTTGTAGAGACATCCAGCAGACCTCCTGTGGCTCCTTCCACTAGACGAAGTAAGCGCATTTTTATCTAATTTACTTCCGTTATATCTTCACTTAGGTTGACCAGTTAATAAAGTAAACAAGATTAAGGGGAGCATAAGAAGGAATATTCCTTAAAATACTGTATAGTTGAGCGGAGCAGAGTAAGTTGTGTTCGCTGTTACAAAAATTTATACCATGCCAAAGAAAATAAAGCTAACCAGAATACAGGAAAGCCATTGTATATTCGACGGTCTCCCATCGTGCGCGTATGTTGCACTGATTATGCTGGCCACGGTATTTTCTATAGAATAACTAATATGTATTCAATTCTCATAATGACGTCTACTCTATCAAGACTACAGGGCTTAGATTTTCTCTTGCCACTGTAAGTCTATCGGATAATTCCTTCGTCATGAATGTAGAATTCACCTCTCTTTTGATTGCAGTGAGCGAAACAAGAAGACCTGGACCATCCGTGTCAAGGTTATGTAGAGATTCATTGAAGAATCAGCTGGCAACTTTAAAAGGTATGCTATAAAACACAAACTACAGATCAAGCTAAATTACAAGTTCAGTGTGCTAGTTCATATGTGTTCTTTAGCGTGAAGAGCAATCTATTTTCCTTAGCAATATAAGTCGAACCTAGTTACGTTACAACGAAACCCGTTAAACCGGAAAGACTTGAATTACTTCTTGTGTTGCGAATTATCAGAGGACGCAAAACATGCCGGCCTAATGAGCGGGCATTGGTTTCGGGTCAAGAGGTCTGGGTTCCAGCGCTGACCAGTGTTCGTTCGGTTGTGTTATTAGACTAGACACTTTACATTTACAATGTTTCGAGTTGCTAGCAGTGAAATGGAATCGATATTGAATGGCCATGGTTATGGTATGTTTGTTCTTTAGACATGTCTGATCCGTTTAACGAGCCATTGTACGAGAAAGTATTAAGAAGCGTCAAGGACCTCAGAAACAGTGTAACAAGCATTGTGAAAGCGCAGGGTAAAACGTCTTCTGTCGGAGGTCAGTAAAGTCATTTCTGTTGATAGTTCTTTCAGTTGCAGTTTGTGTCTACCCAGATAGCCTGCGTCATCGAAGTCTACATCGTCTACATAGACCATTTTACATTTTTTGTAAAACTGGCAAGTCTGAGGTCCTATATTTCTATGAGTTTGCAATGGATTCTTATGAAATTCCACATATTTACTAAATTCGGTATGATTAACCATAATCGTTGAGTGGTCTCGTCCAGTGTTTAAGTTGCTGTCTTATGGATAGTCTTGTTGGTTTGTTTTTGTTTTTGTGTTGTTATTGTCCTTACTCTACACTGATCGTTTTCTTTTAAATGTCAGGAATCCAAAAAGAAGTTCCTCAGTGTTGTCTTGCCGCCACGTTGGCCTTACAAGTTCTTATTGAGCATGCGCGAATATGGGGCACTTCAGAAACCAACAACGTGCACTTTACTGAGCTGAGCTCACAACTGCTTGACACTGTCAAGCGACTAGCTGGTCACGTGATCGGTATTGTTGAGGTACGAGCATTTCTTGTGTGACCTGTGAACATGCTATTGCTAAATATGCTGTTGAAATTTACTTTTGGTGAGATTTTACTGTTTTCCACTATTGTACTAGTATCGTGGTGTTCGAGGGAAGGAAGGGATCTCAATTTAAACGTAGTCTTATTTTCAGAATAACGAGATTCGTGAATTCGTGACAAACCTATGTTTTCTCGCATCGGCTGATTGTGGTTTTATTGTAGTCGAACAACTCTTAATCCTAATTGGCTGTAACGCGTCAAATGGTAGACTAGTTAGTAGAAATTATTTAAATGTTTGTCGATGCCAAAAGAAGAAACAGCTAAAAACGTTGGGCCTGGAACAAAATAAAAGAGGGCAAATCCTGAGGAGTAATCAATTTTTCATTCGGTGCTTATCGTTATTTTTCCTCTAGACTCTTGATGGATCGACCTCAAACATGGACGGTCTATTCTCGGCTTTCAATGATGACGTCAGACACATTGTTCGTCACACGGCCAAAATGGCGGTTCTTTCATCACATGAGGAACAAGCAATAGACAGGAACGACTCGGTGAGAGATTTTATCACACGGAGAGAGGGGCGGAGTAAACCAAGCATTTTTAATTGTTTTCCCATGCCTCCTTTATGGTTCTAGTTTCATAAACCATCTATAATATTTCTTTCGTTGTAGTGGAGTACTAATCAAGTTGTCTTCTTGTTTCAGACTGAAAATGATAACGAGTTAAACAAGGCGTTTATTGAAGGACAGGACATGTCCTTGGAAATATCTGTGCGTGATTCCATTTCTGTCATATCAGAAATTCAGGAAAAACTTCAGACAGACACTTTAGACTCCTGCAATACTGAGGTGCGTGAAAGGAAACCGTTGTTGTGCGCTGTAGTGGTCTGTCTGCTAGGGTTTTGATTGGTTCATATGGTTTGATTGACATACACGCGCTATTAAATTTCTCTTCATCCCCTCTGCCATGCCAACCTCAGGTTTAAAGGAATCGCGAGTCAGCCTCCTGTTCAGACATTCTTTTAGCTCGTCATGAATTCCTTCCCAACAGAATGTCTGCGTAGAGGCTAACCGTGAATTGGCTTTTAGTGTTTTCTTCATTTGAGCTTTTGTAGGACTACATTCCCAGCCTTTTCACGGATCAGAAGGCTGACCAATTCATCTTTCTTTTATTTAAGGTGGAAAGAGAAATAACTGAAAATGTGCTCTCACTTATACGAACCACTGGCGATTTTATTCACCAAGGACGAGAAGTACAGGTAATTTCAGATCACTTCCGCTTTCGGTCCGAGTTATACGAACATGACCAGTCTTTGATTGCTATTGTCTGACAGAATGAGCATTTCTGAGCACTCCGAAACTGAGGTGTTACATAAGACCATGTTATGTTACTTAGCAACCAGAACCTCTTACCAAAACCATGCGCTCAGTCCTAAGGAGACTGAGTCGAGAGACAAGATTCAACTGACAGGGTATCCGACAGGGACGTAATTGGAAGAGCAGTGGGCGTTTTGAACGCAGTGGCGATCTCGGTTTAAGATGGCCTAGATTTAGAATGTCGATAAGCGGTCCGCTGGATTCAGCAAGGTTTGGCAAAAAAAGATAGAGTTTAATAGTACGGGTCTCGTCTGCTGGCAAACCGGCACCATTTGTCTGGGTCTGTATCACATTTATTACCGTATTCGTCTCTTTTTTGTCTTTTTCTGTTTCTTCAGATGCAGCTTGTCTCAACTTCGAACGAAAATAACCGGAAGGACACAGGGAGAAATCGGCTGATTTCTGTGAGGAAGTTCGTAAGCAGTGTGAACACGCTGCTACAGAGGACAAGAGACTTAGCTTCAAACGTACGCAAGGCTTGTGAAGATATGGACCTCGAGAAACTCGTTTCCTTGCCTGAGGAAATATCAACGTCGGCAGGAAATATCGTGCGGCAAGAACGAGCGTTTATCGACACGGAGTATTCAGCTGCTGTGGGGACTAATCAAAACATTTTGGATGAAATGGAGTATTTAGAAAAGAAATCCAATGATGTTGAACTAGCCGCTGGAGACTTGAGGAAAGTTTTGACGAGATTTCTGTTTCTTAGTCCGCCAAAGTCCTTACAAAAAAGAAGGAACTTCAGAGTGTTTCGAACTGGCAAGGATGATTCGGACGAAGACACGCACTCTCCGTCGACTCGTCGGTCAAACCATGTTAGGACTCCTCTGGCGTCTAGGAGTAGAGATTTATATAGCGGAAAGGAATCAAAAAGTAGTCGAAAACTATGGAGCAAAGAATCACCAATTTAGCAAAAAAAAAAACATTTTCAATTAAGCAGAGGTGAAAAGAAACACTCATTACCGTTTGCTTTATAGAACAAGCTCGTTAAAAATGGTACGAAAGACGAGTTTGTTCACAACGACACTAAATTTAAGGACGGTGCCTACTAAACACAAAGGTTTTTGCGCCAAATTAGGACCACGCGGAAAAAGTAGATCTTTGCAAGGGCTATTGGAATTTTATTGATCTTTTTTTGAAAACTTTTACGGTGCCCGTTACATCTTTTCCTGTCACCTCCCCAGTAAGTAAAACATTTGCGTATCTCGCACTTGTTTTGCGGGCACACTATGCCATCTGCAGGTACATGTTTACAGCTGGATTTCAGCATAATTCTCGACAGACAACAGCTGGTGTTTCAGCTGGAAGACGTTAACAGTTAGTGGTTAGCGATATGCTGCTATTCTGGTGTTCCTGTTTTAAGTACAGGTTTATTAGACTTGATTTGGTCACGGCAAGAAAATTTTGCTTTCATTTTAGTCGTGTACTTGGTAGAGTAGTTGATTGCGGCAATGTGAACCCAACGCGCGCCTGGCGCCTAAACCATGCCTTGCGTGATGCGCAGAACGTGTGCGCACTAACAAAAGTAGGCACCGCCCTTAATTTACTAAAGAAAAGTTGGTTGAAATGCAGCTGAGCAGTTCAAAGGAACAACGGCTATATAGAAACAAATGTGATGTATAGACTAAATGTGGTGACGGCCTGCGAATAGTCGTCTGGATATAGTGTGGTGGTACTGGCGAGTGTGTGAATATGTGAGGGAACGGGTGGGGAGAAAGTGTGACTGTGGAAAATTATCGAGAGAGGGATTAACGAGAGAGTGAATTTATGTGAGAGGGCCTGAGCTCGAATTTCCCTCTATGGCCTAGATATAAAGATCTGCAGAGAATGACTGGTAACGAATTTCCTTATGAATCACTTGGTGAATGTATAGAACAAAAATAAATGTATAACGAGAAACGCCTAGAAGCAAACTGTCTCGTGTGCTTTTTGTTCCTCATTGTGGTATTGTGGTCTTTCGTCACTTTCTTAGAACGCTAATATATAGATTTAGCCAAGCCTAAAAGCGGAGCCCCTGATTACAATAATTAACCATTACAGAAAAGGGGATATTTTTCCCTGGATCAGAAACCCAAAAATTGATCAATTGTGAGCATGAGATTGTTTAGCGTGTGGTTTCACTATTTTTTTTACCCAAGATTGTACCCAAAATTTTTGAAATCGATGGGTTACCAAATTTTCTAAGATATGGGGCTCCGCTATGAAACCAAAAAAAAAAAAAAAAAACAGAAAAAATCATGAACTCTAGCACCCAGGGGAGTGCACATTTTGATCGGGAGACAGTTTCCAACCAAAGCTTGAAAATATAGTTTAAAAAAATGAGCGAATTCGTACAAACCAGTTGCAATGAAACCTTGAAATCATGAAAAGCAGTTAGCTTTAGAATACTTAATCGTTACAATGGCAGGTGTCGAGGGGAATTTGATTTCCAATAAAAATTAAACTCCTGCCTATTTGAATTAACTCAATATTTCCTGTGGAAAATCGCGTAAATTCAGAGTGAGAGTGCAGAATCGACTACTGATGTCAAATGACACAGACCTTTCTCCGTCATGTGAAACTTTATTTTGTACAGTTAGTTTTACAAGTTGGCAACATTAAACGTTGGGTGCTTACCATTTGTCAGCGGAATAAACCGGTTGGGATGACCATTGAATAATGATAACGGTTTTTTCAAAATCAGCAAACCAACCGCACGAGATGGCGCTTACCATTTGCAATTCGATTTCTCGTAATTGTTTTCGGTTGATGAGAGACTGGAAACTGGAAAATTTAGCAAATGGTAAGGAAATTTCCACCGTTCCGTTCCGAACGGAAAAAGAAGGACTACCTCTGGAGGTAGCCTACAATTTCCGAACGGATTTTCCGGAAAATTACTGTTCCATTTGACTTTCAACCGAAATTTCCGCATTTTTTTGCTAAATGTTAAGCACCCGTTGTGTCCAGTTTTACATCATGATCAGTCTTGCACTGTCGGTCATTTCCATTATGTTCTTTTTAGGGTAAATCGGCGGGAAAAACCATACATTTTCAGTTCAAGTTTTTAAAATACAGTTCTTTTACTTACATTTAAATCGCATACATTTTGAATTTAAACTGAACTAAATCGAAATTTAGGAGAAAAAGCAAAGGCATATGAGGCAGGTGTTTTGTTAGCTTAAAAGGCATCCGGAATAAATTTAAAATCTTACAGCGGAAAAAAATATATGTATTTGTCTAAAAAAAATAAATTAGAGAAAAAAAACCGCGATCTACTGTGAGCCCCGTTAAAGAAAAGAACTTAACTTAATTAATGTTTGTGTTTCTCTCTTCAAAACAGTTCGTATTCCTCGGGTACTCCAAATTTCTCTTTCTTCCACACTATTTTAACAATAATCAAGCAACCATAACAGAAAGTAATAAAGGCGATGGCTAAAGCAATGCCGGAGTCCAGCCACCATGTGGAATGCATTTCACTGTAGATGATGGTGCTTATGATCAAGCCTAGCGCCATTGCTGCCCCGCATGCGGAATCTATCGCGTCGATCCTTAACGCCACACTCTGTAGCTTATCAGCAATGCGGTATTTTAGCCAGAAGAAAGCGGAATAACACAGGAATCCGACCACTGAAATAGCGAGGAGAGCGATTGTTCTTCTTGGCTCCAAATCGCTGACAAGGAACTCTATCGCCCTGGCGAACATCATTAGCGCAGATAAGATGAAGCAGACTGCTATAACTACACAAGCCGTGCGCTCTTTACCGGGACCCAAGTCGCCGTTAACTCCTCGGTAGAAACGCCACACGATCATACCTGAAGATACAACGCCGAGCATGGCGTCGAAAGCGATGGCGAACGCCGCAGAACTCTCAGAATATCCCGAACTGACAAATGAAGCAATGCTGAGCATAAGCGTAACGTACATGGAGGCGAAAGACACGGCTAAAGCCGCACGCCGCCATCGCTGCTTTTCCTGCGTTGAAAGTTTGGTTTTCTTCTGTTTAGTGTCGTCGTCGTAAGGCGAAACGCAGGGAAAAGTGCCAAAATCGTCTTGAGGATTTGTCGGTTCTGTGGTAACACTAATCGGCGTTACTTCTTTGTCAAGCATTGGAGTTTTCATAGATGCATCGCTGTCGGCTCGTGCCTTATCCATGTTTCTGTCCTTTCCCAACTCCAGCTATTAACGTTGTTGTCTCTTGACCGGTAAATCTGATTTTACTCTGTTTCAATCGATAATTTCAGTTTTCGAGAGGCTTTGAGAATTCTCGGCTTCAAAACCGTTTACGTTCCTTTCAAAGTGAACTTCAATCAGTTGCTACATCTCAGAGGGTAATTTTCTATAATCCATTTGGTCTGGATTTATACGGTGAAGACGAATAAGCATTTACAGTTGTCATTAATTTTCCATAGAAACATTCAGTTTGTGATTTACCGACCAGTGTGTTATCCAGCCAGGTTGAGTTGCCTGTTCCAGTCTTACTAATGCAGTAGAAGAAAATTCTTTCTTGACGAACGGTGGACTTCCTCGTCACTTTTCGAAAGAGGAAAAAATGTGGTTTTCTTCTGGGTAAATAAATCGCCACAGGAAAAGTTAGATCCGTACTGAATCTAATGTGTAAATGGACGTTGATCGATCAGCGATTTCAATTAAATATTCATATTAGCGAACTTCGTGAAACAAGAAAATGTTAAAATTTAGTTCCGAGAAAAAGTAGATCGCGGTGGACACCTCGATTGAAATTCGACAATACCGTCTCCAACTGATTTCAAATGTTTTGTTAATTTGCCTTCTCGCGGTCCTTCCCCGCAAAATACAATTAACGAGTGAAATTAAAATGCAGAAATCGCGAAAAATATAACATCGTTTGCGTTATAACGAAGAATGGAGACTTAGAGGCAGGTGTTGTGCAATGATGCTATTGGAAGATAGTGTGATTTATTACTTATGGACTCAAGACTTTAGCCAATGAAGTGAAATCTCATCGGAACTACCGTCAAGGCTGTCTTGTCTCCCTCTATCTCCCAACACCCACTCTTTTGGCTAAAAAAATAAAAATTCAAGATGGCTAAACGTAAATTTTTCATTACCTAAATAAGTCTTGATATTCTTTGATTTCGCAGTCAACGTATTATTTTTAACTGAAGACGACGTGGAAAGAAACGTGTCGAATCAACGGCTGCAAAGATCAGACAAAACAATGGAGAAACTGAAACATAGGCGTACGGGCACCTTCGGACTTCTGCAGGGGGGTTGACCTTCTTACCCGAAAAAAAATTACACAATTTCCGAATGGGTGAGTGTTAAAATAGGGATACAATCGCACTCAAATTGCAGTGAAATAAAAAGGTTCACAATTCTCAAGTCCAACGAAACTGCTATAATTTCAAAAATAGTTATTTTGAAACCTCGTGTATTCTATGAACTTTTATTTTATTAACTATTCATTTATTTATTTTACGCAGGACCCATGTTGATAGCAGTTTTTGTAACTGAAATGGTCATCCTGCATAAATATATTTATTTATTATTATTTTCATATAGTAAAATCTGCAACTTATAAAAAAGTTATTTCTTCCTCGTACGAAAACTTCAAGAAAAATATAGAATTTAAAACGGCTGTTTGTGGAGCCGTTTCAAAACGGCTCTTCAAAACCACTAGGCAAACAAACATTAGTCATTACTGGCTTTGAGTTTGTCATTGTTGTGTTGATGGAAAATTGGGAATGGAGACCACAATTCTCATTTAAGCTCAACCGACATTTGGCTTTTCTTAAGCAGTATACCTGGATCTCTTATATTATTTGGCTATAAGTCCGATTTGGCAATGCAAGTAGCCTACAGGGCTTGAAACCTTTCGGAATGTTTCCTCCCAAGTGCTGTTGCCCAAATCATGAGCGTTTTGCCCTAAAAACTTCACAATTTCCGCTGCAGCCCCATCCCACCTGCCAGCTCGTAAGACTATGAACTGAAATATCCTCAGTTTGCCACCGAGCAACAACACAATTTAAAACCTCGTTCCCAGGGTCTCTTATCTTCCTGGGAACGAGGTTACAACACAATGGTTTGCAAATAAACATAAAATCATTTCCTATTCAACGTAAATCGCACGAGATGAAGCTAACTAAACGACATTATAACATAACTAAAGCAAAGCGCGCGCTCTGATTGGTTAATTTAGCGTCTACTATTTGCCCATGGGTGTACGCTGCTGACGTGTGTGCTAATGT